GGGAGCGCCACTGCACTCCCAGGCAGCGCACTGTAGCAGTGCGCCACCGGGCCGGCCGAAGAAAATATTTTAATACTCACAAGCTTATCATTACTTTTTTCTGAGTACACAGATATTATATATAACATATATGTACCCAAAATATGGACAGTATTTTTTTTTTATTTTTATAAAATTGAGTTTCAATTTTATAAAAATGTACACATTTGTTTTGTTACCTCTTTCACCTAACATGGGCAAATTACAATTCACTATTAAATACTCTGTTTCCTTCATGGCTGCAGAACCCCAGCCCCCACTATATATATATGTGTACTTCTACAATTGCTGGGTTCAAAAGTAAGACTTTTTTTTTTTTAAATTGTGGCTGACCAGCACAGGGATCTGAACCCTTGACCTTGGTATTATAACATTGCACTCTAACCAACTGAACTAACTGGCCAGCCCAAAACATTTATATTTAAGGTTTTTGATTTGTTTTCCCAAACTGCTTTTTAGAAAACAGAAGTAACAGGAGTGCCCATTTCCTCACATTCTTGCCAAAATCAGATCTGTTGGGTACATTTTTGCCAATATGGTAAGTGAAAAGCAGAAGCTCATTATTTTATGACTAATGCAAACCTCACACTTAAAGCTGCCTCTGAGCACATACCTGCTTCAGCCTGTCGTAATCGAGTCCTTCTGTCTGGACTCCATTGGCACTGGGCTGTGATGAGGGTGTGGATTTTGGTCTGTACAAATGAAATTTCCAGGACAGGTAAACAACATTTATGATAGCTAATGCATTTATGACTAATTGCAAATTTATCAACCCAACACCAGATTTAAATACATTTCTTAAATAAAACACATTTTGTTAAAAAGTTAATTGTCAAAATTGTAGGACTAATTAGAGAATAAAACAGAAATATTTATCACTTTTCTCAGTATTTTCAGCTATGTACAAAGAAACTAGAAAAAGGTAACAAGATGGAGAAACTTCTTCAGTAAAGAGAAGAGACAGCGTCCTTTGGGTGTGAGGAAGGTGACAAGGTAACATGTGGCATGTTGACCAAGACAGTGATGAAGAGGCCAGCTGAAACATCCGAAGTCCAAATAACACAATCTCGTTTTCTCTTTCTCTTGAAATTTTACGTTATCTACTAAATACCTGGCAAACCAATGGAAGAAAAAAATATAAAGATTTGCATATTTTACTGTAACTATGTCAGCAATTTATAAATTCTAAGCATCAGTTTGCAGGAAGAAAACATTTTGGTAAGCATGATTACTTTGTGTGTATATACACGTTTTTTGGACTTTTGCTGTGCAAGCATGTCCATGAGTACGTGTACAGGACGGGGGACCCCTGCTGTGTGTGTGTGCGTGTGTGTGTGTGTCTGTATATATTCTACTCCTCCACTTCAAGCATCAAAATAAACAAGAATGTTGGAAAAATGATTATATGGCGAGAAGTATATCTATTTGGCTATTTCCCACGAAGTGTTTATGAAGACATCATTTGAATGATGCATTTCAGGTTAACTACTTCTATAAACTTACTTTGTTTTGTTTTTTAAATGACATGCCAGACAGAAGCAGTTTGTCAACTATTATTGCACTTTTAAAAGTACCACTTCTATTAAAAATTTTATATGAGGAAGTCATTTTAAGGGATTACGTATATTTTAAGCAACAAAAGTTTCAATACCAAATAAATCAGCCATGGCTCATGGCTCCCTCTCCAATTCTGGCAATAAGACAAAACCCTCCCTGGTAAACCTAGAGTTTAATTGGATACTATTCTACTTTCTGGTTTACTGTAGGTAAGTGGCCAATTATTAAGGGCCACAAGTCAATGCAATTTGAAACCATCAGTCAAGTCACATATTTTCAATTTTGCAGAGTATCAATATTAGAAATCTGAACAAAGACCCAATAAGAATAACTTTGTTTCAAAGTTATAATTTCATAATTCTTATAAAACATATAATGCTTCAAACTCATAGGCATTGCTCATGAAGATGAAATACTGAGTTAATTTGCTTTAATTCAAAACATATTACTACTTAAAAATTATAAAGCAACTTAGCCAATTTTACCTTATTAGGTATTTGCTTACATGAAAAAGAGAAAATAACTTTAAGAAAACTTCATTTAAAAAGTACTGAGCCAGGTACTGTAGGGGATAAGATTTATATAAAATATTTCCTTTCCTATTTTCAGTATATATCTTCTTACTTTACTGAGGGGACACTTAATTCTATAGTCACTTAAGATTTACTGAGGTTCACAGTATGCAAATTATGGTGCTCTGTGCAGAGTCACATCTAATAAACATTCTTGAAGGTTGACACACTGTGCATATATTCATGTTATCTATTCCTGCTCTCCAGAATTAAATTATTAATTACTCTGCTTTTCTTTCACTTTTCACATTTAAGTGGCACAACTAGCTAATTATTTTCTCCTAGGTTATATAAGGATACCTCTGAAATTCATGTGAATAACTACAGTCCGATACTTAACTCGGCAGTATGTTATGAATATATCCATAGTTGCTAAACAATGCAAAAATTATTATTGTTACATAATAAACAATTGTGGAAACATGCAATTTTTAAAAAATTTAATTCATGCTAACATGCAATCCATCACCATCACCACCACCACCATGGTAATTAACTAAAGGGGGGAACTTTTCATACTGAAGGAAAGAAGTAATCACCACTTTTTTTTTAAAAAGGTTTATCAACAATATTATCCCAGGGGCACTATCTGTGAATGCAGCAAGATAACTGAGAAGATTTACTACCAAAAACATCTCATTATTAAATGCTATTTTTCTCTCTGTACACTAGCACATGTTCTAAATAAATCTTTTGGTCAGAAAAATTAAACCACCTTGAAAAAAAGCAAGAAAAATGATTCCACTACTGCAGTATAAACATTTTATGGAGATTTAACTAGCTGACAAAATAAACTTACCAAATATTTTAATCATCAATAGCATGAAAATAATTTTAGCAAATAAGAATTTGGCCAAAGAGTCTGATTGCAGAACTCCCTACTCACTACCATAGGTCCCCCCTCCGTATACTATTTAATTCACGTTCCTGGTAGACTCAATGTGTGTTCTAAAAAACAGATGCACACAATAACATGGATTATTTCAGCTTTTTCTAACCTATGGGTTTTTCATTGTAATTGATTACAAAATATGAGGGATCCTCAGAGGTTTTTATTACTTTATAATGAAAGTGTTACCTCTAGACACCTGCCTATAAAATGACTTCACTATAATATTTAAGTCCCTATTCTGCCAAATTAATTCTACAAATAGCTGAAAAATATTTGAGGAATTTTTGCAAAAAAATTATATCTTGGTTTCTTAATTTAAAAATGGTATGATAGGGCTCATCCTAGAAAATGAAATAATCTGCTCGGGATGTTAGGTTATTAAAGATACTTAATTTACTACAAAGTATCTAGGAAACAGATTTTCCTCAAAGAATAAATTATTCACAATTGTGTCTTTAATATTGTCCCATATTCCAATAAACAGTACAGGATCTTCTAATTCCACTTTTTAAAAGCCGTATCTCATAATCATAAAGAGAACAGCCTTTAATAGAAAATGCTAAAGCTACAAACAGCCTAGACAATACATGTGACCTTAGATTATCATTCTAATATTTTTGATATGTTTACCATTTATATTTATCCTAATCAAACTATAAAGTGATGGTAGGATTTTTTTTTTAAGTGTTCAAAATAAAGTTAAAAATGAAAGATTCATTTATTCTAAATATCTCCCTTGTGGTGATTACCAATCCAGGTAGAAAAAGCTCAGCCCTATCCTGAACATGTTATTTATTTAAAAGTCTGAAATCACAAAGTCACAGCAGGTGATACCTGTGTAATGAATCATAGGACCTGTTGTCAAAAACAATCTGATTTTTCCTTGCAGAATCCCGTCTATGAAGGGGAAAAACCATTTAAAGGGGTGTACAATAGAACTTTAAAAAATAATTCTCATTATGTTACTATTTTATAGATTTTTAGTTATAGCAAACTAAACAAGAATTAAAGGAGTCCATTAACCTTAAAATTGTCTTCTTCCCAGTAAAAAAAGAAGATATTTTGAGACTAATTTTAGTTATGTGAGGATACTGTTTATACTTGACAATTACATAAGATAAAAAAATTTTTAAAAATGGATACTTTTATAGGCTGCAGGCATAGTAAAAACCTACCTACCACAAAGATTCAATAAGCAGCAAAACACAATCAAAGACTCTTAGATTGAATACAAGTGACAGACTCAAATAAAAAGCACAATAAAAATCACTATAGCTTGAAGTATACAAAAGCAACGCTTCTCGGGAGACATGTAAGGAACTTTTTTTCCCCATCTTGAATACGAGATCTGTAAGCTCTTAATAAAAACCATAGGAACAATTAATAAACTTTCCAATGTCACATTCCAGTCATAGTTTAAAGCACTTTTAACTACAACATTCTTGCTTTACTTTCTGACATTTTCACTTAAATACTGCATAATGCAATATCTTGCGTACATCATAGGATATAAATCCATCCTACCACTAACATAATTTTGACAGGGATATTCGGAAGAGAAAAGGGTCCTTTCACTGCAGTGCAAGGATGAGGCACACTTAAATAAAAACTTTATAAAATGGCCAATATACTGGCTTTCAGAAGGAAGGGGAGATAATGTCGGAAGAAAGGCAATAGTTCTTAGTCTTTTAAATGTATTTTTAAAATCTTTTATGGTTTAAAATTACTTTCAGTGAAATTTTAAGACATACATATTAGTGGCTGGATCAAATCTATCAAAAGGCATATGGGTAGTTAGGAAATAAACAGGCATTTCAGAATTTCTATTTTGGGAAAGATGAAGTCAACCATCTATCAGTTGGAAACTGGTTAGAATGCACTGCTGGATAATAAGCAAGATTCAACTCGTCAATATATAAATATTTTTTAAACGGTGACCTTTAGCACTGGTTAAACTTCCTTAAGAAGCCTAAAAAGATTTTTTAAAGAATATTTTTTCTCTTTACAAAATGAGACCAAGCACCTGAAGGAACATACTCCATCTGGAGGGTCCCCTCCACGTCCCTTCTAAGATGAGACTTCGGCCATAAATTTAGGCTTAGCTTTAGGGCAAGCTCACTATGAAGTTCCTACCAATGAAGAAAGGACGAAGGGCAGTGGCGATAAGGAGAAAGTTTCTTCCCTGTCACAACCGACAGCTTCAAAGAACAAACGGCACATTGCAGTCTGTTCCCTACTACATACTTGGTAAATCAGGCTTTACAGGGTGCTAGGAAAGAAAATGAAAATCCAGAGATGCGTTAGGGGCCACTGCAGTTAGGTATCTGAGAAACGTAAATGTGCACGTTTTCACTCTACTGAAAAAACATGTCCACCAAAAGCAATTCCCCTTTTAGCACTCAGAAATTCAAAACTTTCATGCATTCAAAAAGGCCTGGTTTCTTTGTGGAACTTTAACAATTGTGTCATCACCATATCTTTCCTACCAGCAGAAAGAACAACACAAAAGCCAAATCCAAATTTAGATTTAGGCTAACATAGAACAGGTTTGTGATAATATAAAGTCTATCCTTGTACTTTTCATTATTAAGTTTCTTTTTCTTTTTTTTTTCTTTTTCTTTTTTGTCTTTTTCCGTGTCCGGCAACGGATCGCAACCCTCAGTGTCGCCCCCGCACCGGACCGGGACCGGCAACGGGATCGCAACCCTCGGTGCTGCGCCTGCACCTCGCTCAGCCAGTGAGCGGGAACCGATCTGTATGTGGGATCCGAACCCTCGGCGGGAGCGCCACCACGCTCCCAAGCAGTGCACTATAGCAGTGTGCCACCGGGCCAGCCCTTCATTATTAGGTTTCTGTAAATAGAATCAAGTTTGCTTTTAATGAAGCAAAAATAAAGCAAATGGCTCAGAAAGAAAAGGCAAAAAATCTTTAGTCTCTAAATACATATTTTTTTTTCCCTGGGAAAAATATGGGCCCTTTAAACTGTCTCATAGAAAAAGTTTCATCTATAGTCAAGACCTGTGCTATAAATCTAGTCATGAAAATAAAGTATGCCTAACTAAAGGAATACTCAACTTGCCTGACTGTGCCTGCATGCCTCTTGTAGAAACAAGCATTAACTAAGTCTTGTTTCTGGGCACTATCTTTTCTAATTTGATTATGGTTACAAGTTTCAAATGAGAGAAATAAACCTTTCTACTTTACAAATGCAAAGTTTTAGGTTTTATTTTGCTCTCTCTTAAAAATTAGTCTTTTCTCCCCAGCTGATTTTCAGATTAAAACATAAAAGTTTCTTCCAGGGCCGGCCCAGTGGCGCACTGGATAGTGCGCCGCTTGGGAAGCGCGGCGGCGCTCCCGTCCGAGGGTTCGGATCCCACATACAGACCGGCTCCCGCTCACTGGCTGAGCGAGGCGCGGGAGCAACACCAAGGTTTGCGATCCCGTTGCCGGTCCCGGTCCGGTGCGGGGGCGACACTGAGGGTTGCGATCCGTTGCCGGACACGGAAAAAGACAAAAAAAAAAAAAAGTTTCTTCCAAAAATTGCATTTTAAAGAAATCTATAAAGGATGTCATTGAGACTAATGAGAAAATGTGAATATGTACTATATAGACAATATTACTGTTCAATGTTAAATTTCTTGAGAATGATAATGGTATCCTGGTTACACAGAAGATGTCCTGGGGTTCTTTGGGAAAATGCTAAAGTATTTAGAGTGAAGCAGCACTTATTTGCGAATTGCTTTCAAACTTTTAAAGTGTAGATGTATAGATAGTTAAGACAAATGAGGCAAAATGTTAACAATGAAAAACCTAGGTGATAGATACAATACGGGTGTTGGCTGTCCTGTTCTTTCAATTTTTCCTATAGTTTTGAATTTTTCAAATAAACAAATTGGAAGAAACAAAGCTATCTCAAAATTTCAGACAACCTGGCTAATTAACACAGGGTAGAATTTATCAGCCAATCACTAGTAAAAGGATAATGGGGCTCAGAGGTTGTCCAACAGTAGTAGGATTATGGGTGTTTTATGCGTACCTTTGTGCAATTTCTAATCTACCATCAATATTTCCTGCACTAAAAATGTATTAATTTATTTTTAGATACAAATGTAACATAAAACTTAGGAAAAAAATTGATACCTGGAGATAACAGGTGACTTGCTGCCATTCATTGCATTTGCTCTTTCCCAAGGTTTTCTTGTTGGTTCTTTAAAAATAAGGAACAAAAGTTATTAAATATCTTATATGCTTCCAGAGTTATAGTATTAAAAATAACAAAACAGTAAATACCATCATACATGTTTATCTAGTAGTAATAACGATAAACAAACGTTTAAGCTCTAAACTTTAATAAAAATCTATAAAGATTCTAATTAGCACAATTTCAGACCATAAAATGAGAAGAAATAATCAAGGGTGATAAGTTTCCTAGGAAAAACTTAGATTGCTAAATCTAAAATATTATAATTCTATAAACCAGATGGTTAAAAATGTTTCTCAATTTCTCCAATAAAGACAGGATGATAAGAAAATGCATAGGATAATTTTAATTAATTAGTATAGTTTGAATCAATTATAGTGGGATAGCATTACTTATACTATTTTAAACTATTTTTAGTGCCAATGGTAAAGACAAAAAGTATAATATGCAATGTGTTTCTGTACTTCAACATTTCATCTACATCCAAACAGTCCTCTTAGAAAAAAATTCAAACACCACAAAATAAATTTCAGAATCATGGAATTCCACTGTACTTCCTTGATTCTTAAACAATCGATTCTCAGGATGGACATAGCAGATGATTCCAGTTAAATATAAGTTAGTTCACTGTAAGCTCTGATTACAAAAGACACTAGGTGGTCACTTAACGGTTGGTTGTCCATTGCGCTTTGAATTGTTTCTCTAACTGGGGATGGCTCGCTGATGCTGTCACTGGGCTCACTAGATGACCGCATGATGTCAGAACTAGAATCTTGCCATGGAGGAAAGCACTTGCACCATGCAGAAAATCAAATCTATCTACGAGCTGTGATCTCGCCGTATAGTTTTAACTAAGAAACTTCTCCGAAATCCAACGTAGCCCTTCAGCTGGCTTCTGCACACTCTCAGGTAGCTTATACTCTCTTCAAACTACACATACACAAAACTAAACTCAAAACTCTCCCAGGAAGCACTGCTTTTGGCTCTGGATTTCTGCATGCAGGTAGCTCGGAGTGAAACCTTAAAGTCATCATGAATCTTGCTTCCTCCTCAATCAATCATCATTTCCTTCCCTTTTTATTATACTTTTTTACTGCTTGTTTTGTATTCTAACAGCTAGCATGTTCTCTCAATGACCGCCAGCCACAGTGGTGGCAAGTTCCAGAGTTGGCCAGGGAACATCAATCAAATCATCAGATGGGATCCAGGATAGACACAAGCAGAAACACATCCAACATACACCAGCCAAAGTATGTGGAAAGAGGCAAGTCCTGAATGAAACTGAGGGAGACTGGGCAGGGAGCAGAACATTCATCAGGACATTGTTATCAAAGAGATGGAAAAATGAGGAAGTAATTCCAAAGTGGGCAAGATTCGTGAGTGCTACTTTTTAAAAGCTGGTTGAGGTCCTTTCTCAATCAGCCAAACCAGAACCATCTTTTAATCTGAAAAGGGCCCATGTGGTTGTGAGGAAGAGCCGTTGAGTCCGGCTCTGCAGGAACAGAGGGAGCATGGCCATCTTTCTAAGGGTCGAGGCTGCATCTCTCCAGAGGGTCTTTACTGCCACGCTACAAGTTTCCCTATCTCGGTCCCCCAAGACTTCCAAGTCATACTGCCCACAGGGCCATTTTAATGTGCCTAAAACATTTTCAGCTAACTAAATGTCAACTCAATACTTGCAAAGTCAAGTCTGAACTTCTGATCTTTTCATAAAAGGCTCTCAACCTTTTTGTTTCTAACTCACTTTTCCAACCTTTTTTTCCAATATTCCTCAAAAAGAATTGTTCATTCTAGTCAGGCATATCTATTCACTGTTTCCTAGTCTCTTCCTGCTCATCCCCAGCTCCGTACCTCTGCTCATGCTAAATTTACGTCCTGAAATATCACCCTGTCCCCCTCTTTCAACCAAACGAAATACTCCTTAATCAAAGTAAAATGTTACTTTTCTCCACAAAGATGACCCAAATGACTCCATATATAATCGCCTCTCTCTCTGACACATGATTTAGTATTCAACACGTGAATGTAAAATGTTGCCTTTCCCTTGTGTTTGTCTCATCTTCCCAGCTGGACTTCGAGTTTTGTGATCAAAACCTTTACCCTTCTCACTTCTTTTTGGCCTATCAAGTGTCTGACACAACACCAATAAAAAAAATTAAATGAAACAAGTGAAAAAAGAAGCTTCCAGCCCTTCTGAATGAATTCTTAATTTTCCATATATATGGCACACACACAAAACCTGTGCTTTACTTTTTCACATAAGGGAGTCTTAACTTGGGGTCCATGGATAGCCTCCAGGGAATTTATGAACACTTTGAAATTATGAGCAAATTTGTATAAAAATATGATCCCCCCTGGGGAGAGGATCTATATAGTTCTTGTATTCTAAAGGTTCTGTGACCCTAAAGTATGGTTTAGTTCTAAAATATCTATGGTCCTAATAATAGCATATATAATTAATCTTGGCTTATAGGAAAGATAAAGCTAAAATAAATGGGTCACAAACCAGTGAATTTTTCCTGAAAATAACATAAACTGAGTTTTATTCAGAGAAAAAGCAATTCAAAAAATCGCAAAGTTAATTTTAATATAGCAATCAGACTACTGAATAGTTACCATTCAATAATGAAAATGAGGGTTTTTTTTTTTTTTTTGGAGGGGATGGGTTTTACACACATGCACGCAAGCAATCAGACTACTGAATAGTTACCATTCAATAATGAAAATGAGGGTTTTTTTTTTTTTTTGGAGGGGATGGGTTTTACACACATGCACGCACACACACACACGCACGCACACAAACAAAACACCAAAAGTATGGCTTTTTAAAAATGGAATTCTAGTGCTGCGGTTAGCTCAGTTGGTTAGAGTGTGGTGTTGTAACACCAAGGTCAAGGGTTCAGATCTCTGTACTGTCCCCCTCTTTCAGCCAATTCCTTTTTTGAGGGCCCCCCCCAAAAAAGGAATTTCGAAGGCAGCTTGTAGTCTCTACATCAAAACATATGGAAATTAATATAGACATTTCTCTATAATGATTTTCCTATAAACCATTCTAGATACTAATTCATCAAATTTCTCTTGCTTCATTCCAAAACAGATAAGGAGGTGAACAGATAGTCCAACTCTTAATCTTTAGTCAAATATAAAGAAATGATATATAATGATCTCATATTCTCATCTTGGATATAAAATTCATTAAATACTTCCAAGGAAACGTATTTTGTCATTATCCTAAGTAATATATTCTATGCCCAAGAGCTCTCAATGTCAGAAATTTTCAATGAATTTAAGAACGTTCCCCAAAAGCTTTAAGGAGATTTTTTTAACCTTACAAATTAGAAGTTTTGTTTCCTTAATATTATCACCCAAATTAATGGTTAAAAAGACAACTGTTGGGCCGGCCCGGTGGCGCACTCGGTAGAGTGCGGCGCTTGGGAGCGCGGCGGCGCACCCGCCTAGGGTTGGATCCTGTATAGAGACCGGTCCGCTCACTGGCTGAGCACGGTGTGGGCGCGACACCGAGGGTTGCGATCCCGTTACCGGTCACGAAAAAAAGACAAAAAGGAAAAAAAAAATAAGACAACTGTCTCAATTTGAGAATGTTTTGAAATAGACTGCAGTACTGCTAACATGCTCATTTAAATTTTACCTCTAAGAATCAATTATGAAAAATACTTATCTTTCATCTAATAATGTATTTCCCATTTTAGTGAATATCCTCAAATTATTAATATACACTCTAAGAATGTGTCAAAATTATGGTTTTCAAAGACAGTCATGAGAAAAAACTTTGTGTTTTAAAAGATCTCCCAACAGCACAAAGAAAGCAGCTTCTGCGATTACAAAAAGCAGAAGAAAAACACCAAATGATTTCAAGTGTGAACAACGAACTTCAATATTTTAGTGAACAAGCAGTCACTTGGTCCAAGCATGGGAAAGGGAGGAATTTTTAATTTGGGAATATTTAGAGAAAGCTTACAAAGGTTAAAATATTTCTGTTGAACTTACCAGGTATACTTGTTGAAGAGGCCTTACAAGTTACAGGCTCTGAATCTTCCTAAATATACAGAAACATAAACATTAATATCACATCTACTAGAAACCTGCTGCTGCACGCAAGTACACTTCCACTTCCAATATTCGTTCTGCCACTCATTCCCCACTTGTTCCTTTATCCATCTTTTCTCCCTTCCAGTTCAGCCTAGACTTCCTCCTTCTCTTCCTTCCCAATATTTCCCCCTTCAGACGTCCCCTCCAGCTCCCTTCCTGACGTGTTCTGAGAACTTGCACTAGCCAATGCTGTGAAGCCAGGCAGAAGAGATATGTTTCAGAAATGGCATCAAAGGCCAAATGCTGCAGGGAAAGCAATCATGTTATGTGTTAAACACCAATACACAGAACAGATAAAGCAGAGTTTACCCAGCTGAACTGGGGAGGGGGCATGAAAGTTACACTTGGAAGAGGCACAGCTAGTAACCACAGGGCCCCTAGAGGAAACATATAAAAACCGTTGATTTAGTCCCATTCCTTCATTTTAAATTAATGCAAGGAAATGCAGATCCTACAATATGAAAAAACTGGTAAAAGGTCATTCATTCATTTAAAGGTAGGCTTAGAAACATAATTAAACTCTACCGATTTGAACTTTAGTACTTTTCCCACAACTCCACATATTCAAATCATTTTACTAAGAATACCATCAAAAACTTTTAAATAACATTCAAAACAAGCCATTCTTAATAGCTGAGTGTTAAAAATAAGCAAATATTAAGTTCAAACTGATTAAATTCAAATCAAATAATCTTTGACACGATTACCTGAATGACCTGTGCTTGAATTTTATGTTCTAAGGTGAACTATCTATATTCACTTACACTTTTGTCCTCTTTCTGTTCTGTTTCTATAGTTGATCCCTTTTCAGCAATTCTTCTCCTAGAAAGAAGACAAATCTGGTTTTTAAAAAAATCTTTTAACTCATAGCTTAAAAACTACTTCTTTAAGAGGGAAGAACTGCAAGTACTTATATTGTATATGGAATAAAACTAACAAAATCCCCTCAATTCTGAACAACTCCACTGTAGTAAAACTTCTCACCTCCTGGCCAGCAGGGCACTCATTTCTTCCATTAAACCACTACCCCCTAAAGGAAGGGGTCCATTTCCACGACCCGTATCTGTTTTAGATGAGGCCGAGTTCACACCAATGGTATTCCCTCCACTTGGAAAAGGGGCATCCTCCATCTTAATGAGAATATACATACATTAAAAAATTCCTGTGTTAGATAACTGTAAGTTTATTAATACATTACATTCAAAACAGAAGAGTACATCAGCATTAATTTCAAAAAATATCCAAATACTAGGGCCGGCCCGGTGGCGCACTGGATAGTGCGCCGCTTGGGAAGCGCGGCAGCGCTCCCGCCCGAGGGTTCGGATCCCACATACAGACCGGCTCCCGCTCACTGGCTGAGCGAGGTGCGGGAGCAACGCCGAGGTTTGCAATCCCGTTGCCGGTCCCTGGTCCGGTACGGGGGCGACACTGAGGGTTGCAATCCGTTGCCGGACACAGAAAAAAAAGACAAAAGACAAAAAAAAAAAAAAATATATCCAAATACTATTTTTGAAACCTCCTTAAGAACCAAAAGAATGAAAAAAATTGATTTCTTTATGTATCAATGGGAGATTTATCATCTCTAGATTACTTATCATACCTAATAGAAAGCCTACACATCATTTCACTTACATGGATTCATAGTAGTATTCGGCAAGTTCAAGTTTTGCTTTTTGAACTTTGTGGATTTCTTTTTTCCCACCAATATATTTTTAATTAGTGACCGGTTGAATCCATGAATGTGGAACCCACAGATACAGAAGGCCGACTGTATTCCTCCTCCAAAAGTGTATAACCTGAATCTAATCTTGAAGAAACATTAGCTAAGCCAATCTGAAAGACAATCTACAATCTTCAGGAATGTCAATATCATGAAAGACTGAAGAATTGTCACAGACTAAAAGTAAATTAAAAAGACATTACAAATAAATGCAACAGATGATCCTGGACTAGAAAAAAAATTACCAAAAAAGACATTACTGGATAATATATGAAATTTGAATATATTTGTAGATTACAGTATTCTACCAATGTTAAATTTCCTGATTTTGATAATTATTTTATGGTAATGTAGGTGAATGTCTTTGTTCTTACAAAATGCACACTGAGATATTTAGGGAAATAAGGGCATGATGTCTCTGACTTACTCTCAAATCATTCAGACAAAAAGTGTGTATGTATATAGAAGAAAACATACACAAAGAATAATTAGGCAAATATTGGTAAACTGTTAACTGGTTCATCTAGGTGATGAGGTTACAGAAATTCTTTATACTATTCTTGTACCTTTTCTGTACATTTAAATTTTTAATTTTTAAAAACTTTTTTGGCAGCTGGCTAGTACAGGGATCCGAACCCTTGACACTATGCATTACAAGGCTGTGCTCTAACCAACTGAGCTAATTGGCCAGCCCCAAATTTTCATTTTTTTAAATCAATGAAGTTAATAACAATAGGGTTCATAAAATTAGAAAATAATAAATTCAACATTTTAAGTATTTAGAAAGATTAAGATAAGACATACATGAAAAATACAAAAATATGGAAATGTATTTACCCGTGACACTTTCCTAAGTTTTGCTCCAGCAATTGCAGCTGCAAGTCCAGTTAAAGGGCGATTGTCTTCTGACATGGATCCCCCAAAAAAGCCGGATGCAGGGAGTGGAGGGGCCGGAGGTGGTGGAGGAAGAGGGGGTACTTGATTAGGAAGAGGGGGTGGAGGCGGCGGTGGAGGCCCAGATGATGGAAGTGGAGGTGGTGGAGGGGGTCCTGGGGGAGGAGGGAGTGCTACTGAAGCCTGGACAGGGCCTGGTGGGAGTGGTGGAGGGGGTGGAGGTGCAGGTGATCCCAAGACAGTGCCTGAGAGAAAGAAATGTTAAGTAAGACCATCAACAATAGAGCTAATATTATTTTATGTGGAAAGATATGTAGAATGCCAAGCTAAGTTAAATTGACTCAAACATTTACTACATATCAATGAGTTTAATTTATCATAATGTTTAAAGTCTAGATCTAAAAAGTAAAGCCAAAGTGTACGTAATCACTTTAATGTTAGAGCTTTAGTAATAAAACTATGCAATGGATCATCTAATTAGATTTTTTTCCATGGGGATTTGGTAAACAAACAAAATAAGTACTTGTAAAATGTGAGAGACAGACAGAGGTAAGCATCCCTGAAAAATCAAACTAGTACATATGATGGCAGTTAGAACTATTTGAAATAACAGATGCAAAACAATCTATATAAACCTTAATTGTTGAGATGATAAATTCTACAACAGTGAAGACATACATTTAGTTGTTTACAGATAGCCAAAGTGTCTGCTAAGAATAGGAAGAAGGGGTGGGTCCCAGGCTTCAGTATCTTAAAAACATTTCACATTTAAATCCAATGTGTAGCCTGGGTTGAGAATAACTAAAGTAAAAGAATTTACTAGTACAAAATAAATCCTCATAACTCTTAGAAATAATTAAATAATATAGAATTTAAAATGCCGAGTTGTTTTAGTCTACAAGATTGTGACTAAGAGGAGAAATGTCCAAATCTTGCAGAATCACAAAAGGAGTGAGAGTTTATTTAATATCAGAATGCTGAACTAGTAGGTATCCCCTTCTTTGAGGCTTAAAAGGGGGGGTTATCAGATAAATACAATGCTATTTGCACACTGGGTGCAAAATTTTCAGCTTGAGCAGTTACATAGGCAGAAAACATAAGTTGCTCAAAAAAGTGTACAGAGTGATAACAGGCTGTCCATCTTCTACAGGTTGTTACAGCTGTGAGGACAGGTAGGTGGTTTAACCTTGTCAGGCTGGCTGTGCCTCTCTTGTCCAGTATAACTATCACAGTGATACTAACTTGCAAATACTTCAATTTTGACTCAACTTTTTAGCAAATTTGATAAGTCAACAACAACAAAAATATATACACAGCAATAACAAGTCTTATTAGTTTATCTCAGAAACTAAGATTTTTTAATAGCGGTACTTTTAAACCCAGACTATAACACTTGTTTCTTTAAGTACAAATTTGTTTTCAGCTTCCCTCCTGCAGTCTTTGCTAAGTCCTAAGTTTTTTAAAAATAGGATTACAGGAAAAAATAATAAAAGGTTGCTAAGCATCTTCTTATTTACTTACAGAACTAGGCCCTTCTCTACTTAGAAATAATCCATCCTTAGAGATTACATCCTCCCTTCCTTGCTACCATGACAGCGAGGCGTGTCTGTTGAGGGAGAGGAGGGGAATACCTATAGAGGATGCTGTTTTCTCTCAATTATTCCTCCAGCCCACTACTACTTGTAATTTCGGACCATGGAATCCTCTAGGGCATACGAAGCCTGCCATCCTCTCTACCCTTCCTGCAAAGTCAGGATGCCCCACAGGGTCACCCTGAAGTCTAATATGGGAAGCCCAGTATAGGGGAGGCCAAAATGAAATAGGGCCCAAAGTGAGAACTGTTCCAGAAAAAACTCCAGGATGATGCATCTAATGACTACAGTAGGGCACTAAATATATCTCTAAGTCTGTCAGAAATTAAAGGAAAACAATTTAGATCATATATTTATTGTGTGGTAGACTGAATGTGTCAGGTTAAGTTTTTGTTTTAAATTTCACTAAATTTAAAAGAAATGTATTATGGGGACCCTTAAATACTACTAGAAAATACCTTTAACTATGGTACTGCAGAAGATAGTAAAACCTAGTTCAATATGGAAAATTCCCCATATTGATCTTCCAAATGCAATTAATCCAACAGAAAATAAAATTTTATTTATTTAAATGTTTTCTACGTTAACTTTTTAAATTAAAAAAACATGGCACAATGACACACAGATGTTCAACTATCTCTTCTAGGCAATTAAAGTTGATGCCATATAATATCTTCCAGTGACTAGCTGTTAGTAGCAATAACGAAAGCCTTACCCTGCTGGGCTGGAGTCTCGGCCGGCTGAGAGGCTGCCTGCAAGCCTGGCTCAGAAGCAGAGGAGTCTCCCAGCACAGAGTTTAGAGGAGTCTCAACAGAGGCAGGGGCAGCTGCAGAGGGAGAAGGGAGAACACTAGGCTTGGATGAGGGAGTTGAGGCAGTAGGGGTGCCTGGAGGAGGAGAAGCCTGAGGTCCACAGTGTGAGAGGGGTACGAGGGAAGGCAGTGGAGGAGGCGGCGGCGGAGGTGCTGGCCCTGAGGTAGGCGGTGGAGACACTGGATATGCTACAGAGTCGAGCAGCCCACTGGGTGCCGTCGGTGACGGAGGCATTTGGGGCACAGGAGAAGAAACACAAACAGGGAGGACAGGCCTTGGACCAGTAGCTTTGCCTGGGGGGCTGCTAATCATTATTGGAGGAGATGGAGGGAGGGGCGAGAAATTGGAAGTAGACCAGGCACAGGGCTTCGTAGCTGGAGGCTGAGAAGAGGGTGTGTTCACAGGAGAAGAAGGCTGAGAGTTTTTGTTCGGAGGACGAGGAACTGTAGCATAATGGGGAAGAACAGGGTGGAAGGCTGAACCTAAAGATGTTGCAAAACGTGTCGCTGAGTGTCGCAGTGGTGGTGTAGGGGGTTTGGAAGTAGGTGGCAAAGCAGTCACTAGAGCATAATCAGGAGTGGCCTCTGACACCGGAGCTGAGATGACTTTAGCGTATGAAGGAGGAGGTGCTGAAGGAGGCTGGCAACTGGAATACTCTGGAAGTGGAGCGCTATACAGGGAGCTGTCTGAAGATGGAGCTGGACAGAAGGTGGAAAGCAGCAGCAAAAGACAGGATAAAAAGGAGAGAGAAAAAGGGAGCTAGTGAAGCCACAAAACCAGCATCAGACAAAATGTATAAACGTAGACTACAGTTAGTACCAGAGAATTAGGCACACCTGCAAATTACTGTTTACACCTGAGAATATTTTAACTTGTAAATACATTTCAAGATCCAGAAGAGGACAAAAAGAAACAAGTTCTCTCTGTATCTAATAAGTGAATTAATAAATTAAATTGATTTATCCTTTATAAGAAAAGGGTAGTAGTAGTCTTAATTTTTATTATTCAGTCCTCTAAAAGGATATTAAAATTACATGAATGGGACCATAAACAGAAGAATAAACTTAGTTGTTTTTTTTTTTTAAACAAATAGCAAAACTGGGAAAACATTTACTACAAAGGGCGAGGAACCTCCTTTCAACACTTACTTGTGGAAAAGTTCTGTTGGCCATAATTCCAGAAAATAATTAGGCAGTTAAAAACACATGATTTAACTTAAACAATCAACCAACTAACCAACCAACCAATATTTAATCAACCCACATGGAGACTTTTAATACAGGACATAAGGAATAAAAATTCGTAAATCTTATAATTAATCATTTTAATGAATGTTCAAATACCTCAAACTTTCAGCCACATCTTAACTTTTGTGTCTCTCAATGAATTCCAACAGATTTAGTAATTTTCACTAATTTTCCACAATCCTAGAAAAAATATATATATATGTATACATACATATACATAAATTGGGGGCAGACTGGCCCATACAGGGATTGGAACCTTTGACCTTGGTGTTATCAGCACCTCGCTCTAACCAAATGAGCTAACTGGCCAGCTCCCTAGAAAATATATTTACACAGCTGGGCAGTTAGAGAATATTTTTCACCTAGTGTTTTAATTCTTCCTTCAAAAACTTTAGAATACAATCAAGCAAATTTCTTGCTCAATGGTACTATAAGAATTTGAGACGATTTAAGCAATGTCATGAGGGAAAAATAGTCCAAGATCATCCAATATAAAAAATTTCCCATAAAAATACACTTACATTTTATAGCCAATTTATAGTTAGAAGAATTAGAATGCCAGAATAAAAATTTCTTTAAGTCTCCAAGCAACAAAAGCAATAGAGAGAAATAAAAAGAAAATGTTAAAGTAGTAATTGCTGCACAGTTTTCATAATGTCAAGTCTTATTGCTTAATCCCAAGCATCTCGAGTGTGAAATCTTCTAATATCTGACTGCACAAAACACCATCCAAACTCAGATGCAAGAACAAGGGGAGCTTGTAATCTTACCAGCGTTTGATACTCTGTGCTCTCTCTCCCATTCCAGCTGCTCCCTTTCCAGCTGCTCTTGTCGCTCCCTCTCCTGCCTCTCCCGCTCCTGCTGTCTCTCCTGCCGCTCCCGCTCCAGGCGTTCCTGCCTTTCCCTTTCTTGTCTCTCTCGCTCCAGCTGCTCCTGTTCCAGCCGTTCCCTTTCTAACCTCTCTCTCTCCAACCTTTCTCTTTCCATTCTTTCTCTCTCCAGCCTTTCCCGCTCCAGCTCCTTTTGTCGTTGCTGTTCTTGTAGTTGCCTGAAATTAGGAGAAAAAAAAAATTTTTTTTAATTAAAAATATGCATCTATGGCTGCTCATGATTTTTAAAAAGCTATTCTTTTCACAATGCACCTCTGTAAACTTTATTTCTGATTCAAATAAAAACCATGTAGAGCATGCAATCCATATCTCTCCTCCTATATGAACAAAGATTACTTTGACAGAGATGACTTACGTTTCATACAAATGAAAACCATTTCTCTTATTAGCATCATATTGGTTGAATGCTTCAGCACATTACACGGTCTCATTTTATTCTGTAATTTTCATGAATGAAGTGCTGCAAATATTTTCCAAATAACTGAATATATACTACTAATGACCAAAAGTCATTATTTTAATCATTTAATGAATAAACTTGTAAAACTGCAATTTCCTTCCTAAAATATAACATCAAATTTTAATTGTACAAGTAAAACACTATCATTTCAAAAAATACAATGGCTGGCTACAACAGGTCAATAAATGTTTTCTGAATGAAGAAAACAGTTAAGAAAGAAAGAAACTTTAAATCATTGAAATCTCACATCCAAAGGCAACTGTAATTAACATTTTGGTGTACAGATACTTCCAGACCTTTCCTCACCTAAAAATACACACATGAACTTTAAAACAATGGTTTTAACAAAAAAAAAAAAAAAAAAAAAAAAAAGCATAAGTCACAGATAGAAGGCCAACTATGAGTGAAGAGAGTCTGAAAGAATTACTGAACAATGGCATTTACAACTAGGGTGTACTGACTTCTACATGCATAATATCCTAGGGTTTTCAGTATATAAAAGATAAACAGTGTCTACTGATAAAGGAAAAGAGCAAAATGCCAGAGAATATTTCCAAGTTCAGTGAAAGATGATTCAAGCAGGCAGTTCACACAGCTGCAAGAGAGCCTACTGACTGTAAGAGTATTTTCTTGTTCTAAAAGAAGGGAACATATTAAACATCTCTAGCTAATTTTTAGCCTGCTCACTGAAAAGATGTCCATCTGAACATATTTCCCAAAGAAGTGTGCCAAGCAGAAAACCTCTGGCTTACAAATGTTTAGTGGCATGAATAATTTCCACTTAAATCGGATGGTTTATAAATCTGACTTTCATGTTTTGATCTCTAAAGCATGACATTTATGTATCTTTTTAGGGGGAAGTTTCCAAATTTATAAACTTTGCTTTTATTAGAATTATCACTGCCAATTCACATGCTGGAAATGCACATTGCTCCTCCAGAGTTCTGTCTACCATGAACTGTTTTCTTCAGTCATTAATAGAATCGTCTAAAGATTTTATCGAAGTACAAGTGTACTAATTCTGAACTATGAGAACATTCTGACAGACTACTTTCTCTTTAAGTTAAGACATGCATTTTACATGGAAGTTTCTAAGAAAACAACATAAATTTGGAAATTTGGAAGTTTCTAAGAAAACAACATAAATTTTTCCAGAAACAATTCTACCACAAACTTATAAAATTATACTGCAAACAATTATACTCCAAAATTATAGGCACCAAAGCATTTATAAAATAATATCAGACATAGTTGCTCCCACCACTAAAATATGTTTTTCTCCCAAAGAGGTACTTCCAAAGGTTAAGTAGGCGCACAAAAGTACTGGCCTACAATGAGGCTTTTCATATACACATTCAAACATGTATGTAGTTTATGGTGACTCCGCAAGTTTTGTTTTGGAAGCAAGCAAATTATAAATAACAAAATTTCAAAATACACTTCATCCAGTCTTATAACGAACAGTGTTAGGTAAATAGTGATTTCAATTTTGACATAATTAAGTAGGAGAGCAGTCTAGGAAAAATGTTCTGAGTTGGTAACATTTGTTACTGACATTTGTCAGAAAATAAAACTACGCAGATATATTTTTGATTGTATAATGTGGGCATTTTACTTCTCTATTAGTTAACAAATGAAAAATGGATAAAACTTAAGAAGATAGTTAAATAATATTACAGAGCTCCTGAGACAAGAGCCAATACTTACAACAGAAGGCGGTCCACTTTCGGTCCATCCTGCCTCTGAAGGCTAATCGGAGAGCTATACACTCTCATTGTTACAACTTCTCGGTTCTGTGCTAAGGTTATTTTCCCCCTTTTATAACATTCAGGTAGTAGCGGTGATCTGCAAACTATTTATAGATACTAACTAAATTATGTTCTATGTTGAGACTAATGTAGGACTGACTCACAGTTCTTAGAATGTATTTTTCATCATAGTTAAGGAAGCCAAATATTAATAATATGAGTAGGAACCAGAAGCTGATTTAACAAATGGATACACATATGAACAGAAAACTACAGTATCATCATTTAGTACAGTAAAGGTACTGAACTAATAAGATTTAACATCTAAAGTAAACATTTGTTTTATCAACTCAACTTCATACTAATTAAAAATTAAAATTATAAAAGTAATATATAGCTTAAAAACTCAAATAGTTTTATAAGACTTATTACAAAACAGTAATCCTTTTACCAGCTCTCATCACTTCTAATTTCGGTCCCCCAAAGGAACTACTTTGAATACACTCTGGTACTATGTTTCTTTTTTGGGGGCGGCTGGCCATATAGGGATCCAAACCTGTGGTGTTATAAGGATACACTTGGTATTTATCACGTTGCTAAATACGGTAATTCGTTCAGAACTATTACTTGTTGATTTTTCAGATTTAGATGCTATCTACTGACTTTCTACTATATAAGCGATTTAATTCCTGTACCTACACCTGACCCCCTATCCCCAAAAAGCTTTTCTTCTCCATTCCCCCAATAAAATCATAACACTACTTTGGATACATCAATATTCAATTATCTTATTATTCACTGCTGATCACATTTACTTTCCAGAACAATTTCTTATTCTGGTGCTAAAAGTTAGTACTTTTCCTTCATTTGATTCTTTTTCTATATACCTATCCCTATTTCACCCCGAACTCTTCAACAGAACTGTACATCCTCTCAATATGGTCAAACATATCAAGAGATCAAGGGTTTTTTGTTCCTTTTGTTCTTCCTTCCCTCAAGAAACACCCTGCCACGAGCCCTCACACCGCTGGCAGAGGTCTTGCTTTTGTCTTAGGCATAGTGGGCACAGCCTTATCTCTTTCCTAAGCTGGATCCCTTGTTTCCTGGATCCTCCACGGTGTGTTTCATCACTCCTGGTTTACTCTCATTTTAACCGATCAAACATTCCAATAGCTTCCTAGGAAGCAGCACAGAGGAGGAAGTTTTAGATTGAAAAGAGTTTGTCTGAGGATTTTGAAGCTACCCTACCTCCCCTCTTGCAGATTCAATTTCCTCACATTTTGGGGGTGTTTCTTCCCCCTAGAACTCCTATTATTCGGATGCTGGGCCTCCTAATCTGATCTTCTGACTTCTATTTTCTTTGTTATACCATCTCTACGTCTTATGACTATTTTCTGGGAAATTTCCTCGATCTTATTTCTCAAATCTCCTACTTCTTAAAAAAAAATTGATGCTGTTTTTTAACTCCAAGTACATTTTCTTATTCTCTGAATGATTCTTTTAAATTAACTACCAACTTTTGTTTCACAAATGAAATATATTCTCTTAGTTCTCTGAAGCTATCACAGTATATTTTCAGGTATCCTCCTGCTCCCTGCATTGCATCTATTTCGTCCAATTTTAATTCTGTTTATTTTGTTCTGTCTTCATGTTATAGAAATTGTCCTCAAAGCTTTGATGATCCTTGGCTGTCCATTCATATTTATGAGTAGCACTAAAGATGATCAGATGCCTGTAAGTCAATGAGCTTCACTGGCAGGGACCTTGAGTGTTAACATCTCTGTCTTTCTTTTGGCTGAGGCAATTTTCCCAAAGAGGAATCCTGTGGGTTCTGCAGGTCTAGCTGCTAGTGTCTAGTAACGAAGTGAGAGAAAGAGACCAACTTGGCCATGTTCCACTTAATCTCTCTTTTCAGTTGGCACCTCACCCACACCCTCACAGCTGTGAATTTATAATGCAAATTAATAATGTTTTTCATTACATTTTTCAGTAATAGTGTAGAAAAGAGACAGTTAAATAAATAGCCAAAATTAACAGGACAATCTTACTTAACTTATGAAATAAAAATTGGCCAAGAGTATTTTATTATGCCTCTGAAAATGAACTCAAGGTTTAAAAAAAAAAGATTTTTACATAAATAACCACATGATATAAGTTTCTGGAAATATACTTTCTACTGGGAACCAAACTTCACACTAGACTCTGCTATACACCCCCTCCCACTGTGTTTTCTAACCTACACAACTAGATCCAGCCCTGCACTGCTGTCAGCTGAGAGAAAGTGAATAACAGTACTCAGTGTCTATGTAAATATTTAGTAGATATTTTGGGCTTTTGTACTCTCTTTTTCCAAGTATGGTTTAACTATAGGCAAAAACAGATTGTAACAGATTGTAAGGGATATAGGTCAAAGGAAAACGGCAAATACCTTTCTCATAGTTTGAAATTATGAAAGTGATAAAAAGCAAGATGCCTTTTTATTCTATGACAAATTCGGGAAAAGAGTTTTAAAAAGCAATTTCTTAGCATGGCATATGAGGCCCAGTACAGGGTGGACACAACGTCTACTAACTGTACCATCGGTCCTGGAGGGGACAAAGGGACAGTGTTCACGGTGCACACCATTTGCATTCCCTTTACATGCTGCCTCTTTCTGCCTGGAATGCTTTTCCCTTCTGTTACTAAAATCTCCTACTTCCTCTTCAGGCACAGCTCAAAGAGTACCTCCTCTCTGAAACCTCCCACCGTCTCTCAAAAACCACAGACAGAAATGCTTAGGCAGCATGAAATGACTGTGTACTGTGTCATTTAACTGACCCAACAACTTTGAGGGAATGTCTTGATTATTTCCATCTTACACCAACACCTGGGAAGTCTCTAAGCCATCTATCAGCTAAATGTCAATAATTTCTCCTTCAAACCACGGATTTAGAATGGGGTAAAAAAAAAT